ACGAGCTCCTTGCTTATCATCGTTCTTATGGTTTCTTTCCCGACATGCCCTAGCCTAGAATGCCATGTTGTGTAGTCATTGTTGGCCACGATCTGGTAGCACCGATCATCTCTGTCAATATAGACTTTATAGAGTCTATTTTGTGATTGTTTTGCCTTTGCAATAAGTTTTCCATCTCGATCCTTCAATGTAAGGTAGTCGTCTTTCATTCTCACATCACACCCACACTCCGTAGCTTGTCCCAAACTGATTATATTGCTCTTCAAATCAGGGATATAGTACACATCCGCCAATATCCGTTTACTTCCATCTCTTGTGTAAAACCATATTGGTCCTTTTCTTTTTATGTCGATGCGAGAATAAAATATAAATAAAGCATAATAAATAAAGAAAATTATTATTTAAATCTTAATTATATAATCTTCATTATATAGATAAAATATAAATAAAGCATAATAAATAAATAAAATTGAAAACATTATACAGCTTGAAATTTTATTGATTTTATTTTGAATATGAAAATTATATTTAGAAACTATTTATAAAATTATTATTTAAATCTTAATTATATATATTTTTAATCATAAACTTATCCCCAAATACAAATTTTAAGTCTAAATTAGTTAATTATCTCTTTAATAAAATAAATTTTGTTAATGACGCGATAGTAGGCTAGAGGCATTTAAGGGACCTAATACTGTGAATCTGAGGTTTAAACCTCATTGATCACGCTGATATAGACTATTAATTTCGATTCATTTGAATATCTAAAAGAGAATCCATCCGTGGATTGTACCTTCACTTAGAGATTAGATCATTCTGGTTTAATCATTTTATTTTTTAAAAAGAAAAACATATTTTGGTTCTTTTGATCTTTATATGCTATATTTGTGATAAATAAATTAAAATCATATCTCTTTAATTTAAGGTTATCCTAAGGTATTTCTTTAATTTAATTGAAATTTCGTATCCCTATTTTTTTCTCTTTTAAAGAAGAGCTGCTTATTTAGCTTTTTTTCTTCTAATTACAGAATAATAACGTTCCGACCGTCCACGGCTAATGGGCCATCCACGCCCATTCTCTGGACCTTTGGATTCCATCCCGTTCCAATGACCAGTCCGTTAATTTTTCAAGGCTCTAGAATCATGTTTACTGATCCTGCAATCACCACATGGTATTTTCCTGTATTTTGGCCTCATTTACATGGTATCGCAAATCACTTCCCAATAGGCCACCCATCCTTTAACTAATCTAGCTCAAGCACGCTTAATTCTGAAGTTCTCTCTGAATGTGCTCCCGAAAAGTTAAGTGCACTTTGTTGACATAGGTAGCCAAATCAATCTTCTTAAGCTTTTCTGTATATCACAACTCGAAATGTTACAATTCACCTCCTCTCAAAAAACGCAACGTCCTCGTTACACCCACGACAGGTTTCTAGACACATCTCAGACCAGAGCTGAGATGGCTAACCAGCTCTGAACCACTTGTAACATCCTGACCGCCCACAGTTAATAGGCCACTCATGCCAACTCTGAGCCCGTGGACCCCATCCCGTTCCAACGACTGATCCGTTAATTTTCCAAGGCTTTAGAATCATGTTTGCTGACCCTGCAATAAGTTTTCCATCTCGATCCTTCAATGTAAGGTAGTCGTCTTTCATTCTCACATCACACCCACACTCCTTAGCTTGTCCCAAACTGATTATATTGCTCTTCAAATCAGGGATATAGTACACATCCGCCAATATCTGTTTACTTCCATCTCTTGTGTAAAACCATGTTGGTCCATTTCTTTTTATGTCGATGCGAGAATAAAATATAAATAAAGCATAATAAATAAATAAAATTATTATTTAAATCTTAATTATATAATCTTCATTATATAGATAAAATATAAATAAAGCATAATAAATAAATAAAATTGAAAACATTATACAGCCTGAAATTTTATTGATTTTATTTTGAAATATGAAAATTATATTTAGAAATTATTTATAAAATTATTATTTAAATCTTAATTATATATTTTTTAATCATAAACTTATCCCCAAATACAAATTTTAAGTCTAAATTAGTTAATTATCTCTTTAATAAAATAAATTTTGTTAATGACGCGATAGTAGGCTAGAGGCATTTAAGGGACCTAATACTGTGAATCTGAGGCTTAAACCTCATTGATCACGCAGATATAGACTATTAATTTTGATTCATTTGAATATCTAAAAGAGAATCCATCCGTGGATTGTGTACCTTCACTTAGAGATTAGATCATTCTGGTTTAATCATTTTATTTTTTAAAAAGAAAAACATATTTTGGTTCTTTTGATCTTTATATGCTATATTTGTGATAAATAAATTAAAATCATATCTCTTTAAATTAAGGTTATCCTAAGGTATTTCTTTAATTTAATTGAAATTTTGTATCCCCATTTTTTTCTCTTTTAAAGAAGAGCTGCTTATTTAGTTTTTTTCTTTTAATTACAGAATAATAACGTTCCGACCGTCCACGGCTAATGGGCCATCCACACCCGTTCTCTGGACCTGTGGGTTCCATCCCATTCCAACGACCAGTCCGTTAATTTTCCAAGGCTCTAGAATCATGTTTACTGACCCTGCAATCACCACATGGTATTTTCCTGTATTTTGGCCTCATTTACATGGTATCGCAAATCACTTCTCAATAGGCCACCCATCCTTTAACTACCCTAGCTCAACCACGCTTAATTCTGAAGTTCTCTCTGGATGTGCTCCCGAAAACTTAAGTACACTTTGGTGATATAGGTAGCCAAATCAATCCTCTTAAGCTTTTCTGTATATCACAACTCGGAATGTTACAATTCACCTACTCTCAAAAAACGCAACGTCCTCGTTACACCCACGACAGGTCTCTAGACACATCTCAGGTCAGAACTGAGATGGCTAACCAGCTCTGAACCACTTGTAACATCCTGATCGCCCACAGTTAATGGGCCACTCATGCCAACTCTGAGCCCGTGGACCCCATCCCGTTCTAACGACTGATCCGTTAATTTTCCAAGGCTCTAGAATCATGTTTGCTGACCCTGCAATTACCACATGGTATTTTCCCGTGCTTTGGCCTCATTTACACGGTATCGCAAATCACTTTCCGATAGGTCACCCATACTTTGATTACTCTAGCTCAAGCACGTTTAACTATGGTGTTTTCTCTAGATGTGCTCCCGAAAACGTAAATGCAATTTGATGACATAGGTAGCCAAATTAATCTTCTTAAGTCTTTCCATATATCACAATTCGGGATCTACACTATTATTTGCGAAGTGTTTTTCGCAACGGAGCTCTCACGTTAAAAGTTAGAGTGGTTAATATCGTTTATACCCTTAATGAAAATAATATATAAATCAGCTAAAAATAAAAACGAATTTAATATTTATTTGATTAGATAAATGATTTAAATTGATAATAATGATAAGAATTATCCATAATCTAAATATATAGATAAATATAATAAAAAGGATAATTCTTATAGATATTGTGTTATTATCCGGAAAATAAATTTTTAATAAAAAATTCAAAAACAAAAACACATAAATAAATATTCATAAAGTAAAATTTTTAATTTTATATAATTAAAAAATATAATACGTAATTATTTTCAAATTAAAATAATATAATATAATGATATATATTCGTGAAGTTATTTTTCACCTCTGAACTCAGACGTTAAATTAAATTTATGTTTATATTTTATATAGTTAAACACATAAATAAATATTCATAAAGTACATTTTTTAATTTTATAATTAAAAAGTATAATACGTAATTATTTTCAAATTAAAATGATATAATATAATGATATATATTCGTGAAGTTATTTTTCACCTCTGAACTCAGACGTTAAATTAAATTTATAATTATATTTTATATAGTTAAACCTTAAACATGAAGTAATCATATAAAATAAAAGATCATTCAAAAAGAAAGAAAATACGTGTTTGATAAAATTATATTCAAATATATTGTATTATTATCCAAACTAATTTTATTCTTTCTGTAAGATTAATTTTTGAATGTATATTTATCGATTCAATTTTTCAAATTGAAGATTGGTTTCTATATTTTTATCAATTAAGAAGAAATGAAATAGGCTTTAGATTTTTCAAAATTTTAAAGGAAAACGTAGATTTGTTTTTAATTTGTGAATAATTTTATCAATGTAAAAAAGTTTAATGTTATAGCTCGAATTATTTGGATGCAAATAATCATTTATTTTGATGATTTTTTAAATTGACTTAAATATAATTAAGTCTGCATGTCCGCATTTAAGTGATTTTTCGCAACGGAGCTCCCACGTTAAAAGTTACACTGGTTAATTTCGTTTATATCATTAATGAATAAAATATATAAATTACATCCAATATAAAAACGAATTTAATTATTTTAATTAGATAAGTAGTTAAAACTAACAATAATCATAAGAATTATCCAAAATCTAAATAATATGTATTTAAATAAGATAATTCCTATATATATTTTGTTGTTATCTACACATATATTTTTAATAAAAAAATAGAAAATACATAACTAAACATTAATCAAGAAAATTTCTTAATTTTATATAATTGAAAATATTATTTGATTTTAAGATTTATTTTTAATAGTAAACATAATATACAAAGAAATATATGTAAGAAGGTTTAAATGAAAATATGAATATTATTTGTTTAAAAAAACATAAATAATAATTTATCATTATAATCTTTCAATTAATAAAAGTATATTAGTAAAATAATTATAAAATGTTTAAGCTCGCAAGTGCGGGCAAAACACCTAGTGTTACAATATAGTTGGATATGTTTTTTAATTTGTTTCGTTCAAGCGTTGGCCACAAAACAGGCCTATATGATCCGCCGCAGAAAGAGCTATTCTGAGTGACTCGAAAAAGTAAAGAACAATGAAGAAAGGATTAAAGAGAATGAGACGTTTAGGAGGAAAAGCTTAAAATAGGCATTCTTGGATAAATGATGAAGGTATGGAGATGGTACCAGAGATGCTTGATCGTACATCCAGTGAAGACTCAGGTCATAAGCTCCGGCTTTCTCTGGGGATTCGGCGATGTCACCGCTCAATACATCACTCATTCCACTCCCAAACCTCCTCCTCTTCGTCTCACAGTTAGTCTATTAGTTTCTCTCCGATCTTGGTTTTAGGTTTCTTCAACTGTTAATATCTATCGGATTTCATGAGACATTTGATGTTATTTCTTCGATATTCAAGACAATGCTACATTTGTTCTCTGCTCTTAACATTTTTGGACTTTTGCATCAACATTTCTCTCTCAGCCTTACTTACGGATTGGAGTCTTAGGTCTTCTTTTATGGTGTTAGAGTGCTTGTGTTGCCTGCATGACTTAGTCATTCAAATTGTATTTAAGATGAGTTTAGGCCTGACCTTTGTGAATCTTCAGCTTTTTCATTTTAACTTTTAGTGCAAGCTGTATTAGTTGAGACGAGGTCTTCCATGGTGGATATAAAATACTTGCAATATATTTTACTGGAACCAATGTGTTTTTTTTTAACACTCTTCATGCTCTGTTGGTGTAGTACTTCTATTCTATTAAAATAGAGTCATTCTTTTTATCTACTGATACAAGTTACCATTTAAATTTGGACCCTTTCTAGAATGTTACAAATAATACAAGTCATATAGTTGATTGAACCGCATTACTTAAATTAAACCGGCGGTTATTTATGGAATAGAGTTTTGGGTTTACTTTTATTTTTATGACAAATTATATAGTTTAGTTTTTAGGTTTAGTATTAAAGATACCTTAATGGATTAAAAAATCAATTACTATTTGTCAGGCCCAAAAATATTAAATATTTTTAACAAAAAAAAATTAGTTATTATTAATCACTTATTTAATTAGTTTGGTTTTTGGGCTTAGTATTAAGGAAAAACTCCAAAACATTGAATAAACTTTCTGTCTTAATGGATCAAAAAATCAGTTATTATTTTCAAGCCCAAAAGATATTAAATATTTAAAAAAAAAATTGTCTATTATTAATCATTTATTTAAATCATGTACTTTAAAACATGTTAATGTATTTTTTATTTTAAATAACAATCACTTTGTTATGATAAATTTCAGTGGTGACTTTTAACTTAATTATTGTTTTATTTCTCTTAAACAATTTACTAATTTAAAAAAATGTAAATCAAAACTAAAAACCAAATCTAAAAACTAAAACTGCAAAAGCAGGTTATATTTTTTTCCTTTTGTTTATTTACAAAATAAACTATTGCAAATTTCTTTTAAAATTTTTTGTCATCTTTTCAGTTTTAAATTAGATGTTCGATAATTTAGGATTTGTTTGTTGGTAATATCACTTCAAACTAACTCAGCGAGTCTAAAAATTAAAACCCAAACCAAAAACTGAAAATAAATATAGAAACTTAAAAACTAAAAACCAAAAACCAAAATCTAACAAAATCTAAAAATAAAAACTAAAACTAAAAACTAATAAAAACAATCATCACCACAAATTTTGGTGAACTGATTGTATTCCAAAATATTCTTTATATTAAGACAAAACCCAATTATATAAATTTTATTCATAAAAAATTTCCGCGTTTTTAAACGCGGGTCAAAATCTAGTTCATGTTTATATTTCATCACAACTTATCTTTTTTGGTCCATTGGATAACACATGAAATATAAATTCTTTGGATTAGCAACTTTAACGGCCTATTGCTTGCTTGAAGTTATTGTTGCTTTTTTGGAATAATGATATGCTTTTTGCAAAGTAAGACTTCTTTTGCTGCAAAACAGACCTCGGAACTCAAGAAACCACTAGAATCCTTTCCTACTATTCTATGTGATTTGTTAAGATTTATTTGACTTTTGTCCAACCTTGGGGTCAAACACGCTAAACTATGCTCAGCATAACAAAGATGTGACAAATATATACACGTTGCTGGATAAAATGATCTTTTTGCAATTTATTGTTCTGTCTTTTGGCTATGGATTTATTGGGTCGAGCACTTATCTTCGTTGCATATAACAGGACACAAGTAAAGAGGCGGATGCAGAATTCAAGGTCAGCTGGAAGCGAGTAGCTATCACAAGCATGTTCGGGCTTGGTTTTGTTGGACCTGTTGGCCACTTCTGGTTTCGTTTCCTTCTTCTTATCATATCATTTAGCTATAGCAACACCGAATCAGATGCTGAGGGAGAATGGTTTATGGATAGATTGATGAACCTATTTGCGGTTGTCACAGGTACGAAGGCTTGGATAAATTCATAAAACTGAAGCTTAGATATGTACCAAAGTCAACACGTTTTGTGGCAGCCAAAGTTGCAATGGATGGTCTTATCTTTGGTCCCATAGATTTACTTGTATTCTTTACATACATGGGGTACGCGGCGTACCGTACGCCACACGGGCAAGAACACATCTCAAGTGAAAGAAGGGATGCAAGAGGGACTTTCTTCCAGCTCTAGCTCTTGAAGGCGGAGCTTGGCCACTTCTTCAGATCGCAAACTTCAGATACGTTCCCGTGCAGTACCAGCTGCTTTACGTCAACATATTTTGCTTAATAGACAGCTCTTTTCTCTCTTGGGTCGAGCAACAGAAGGATGCAGCTTGGAAGCCGTGGTTTACTACTTCGTTTCTTAAGCTTAAAGAACGAGGTGGCACTGGTGGAGTATGATTCGTTTTTTTCATGTCATAGACGTTAAAAACCAGAAAGAGTGTTATAAAGTATTATTTGTTGAATCAAAATATTTGTCAGCCCGCCCATTTGACAGTCTTAACAGCCAAGATGGCTGCAGTGAAGCTGCGAAGCTACTCACTAACAGCCAAGGTGGTTTTATCAAGCCAAATCCAGCATAGTTCTCTCTCTCTCTCTTCTAAGTTTAAAAGTGGAACAAAACTTCTAGAGACAATAGCTTGGATTGATCTCGTCTGTGCAGAACGGTATGACACCACTGCATCTTACGGTATGACATCTCAACTGTTGAGAAATCGATCGACAATAACGTAGATTGATGATCACTACAAGAAAACTAAGCCTTTACTAGGAAATTTTACTAGGAAAAATATTCCTCGTAAAATTACTAAGGCCTTACTTCGAGTTTACGAGGAAAGCAAATTTCCTCGTAAGATCCTCGAAAAGTTACGAGAAAATGTTTTCCTCGTAAGACCTTAGTAATTTTACGAGGATCTTACAAGGAAAAAGTACTTTTCCTCGTAAAGCCGTAGTAAAGACTTTCCTCGTAAAGGCATAGTAAAAGATTACTACGAAATTAGGAGGAAACTGTTTATTACTACGAAATTAGGAGGAACTGGATAGAAAATATCGAATTTAAATAAAAAAACGTGTTTTGTACCTACTTTTCCTAGCAATTTCCTAGTAAATGCTCAGATTCGAAAATTTCTATAAATACCACCTTACGTGATTCATTTGAAACACACCAAAAAAAATCAGCTATAAGCTTGATCAAACACAAAAAAATGTCCGGTCCGGGAAATATTTTCGAGTTGCGGCAGTGGATGTATTCACACAGAGATAATAACGGGAGGGTGACGAACGAATTTTTGGAAGGGTTGGAGATGTTTATGCATCAAGCAGATTCTACACCACTCACGCAGGAAAGTGGTAAGATGTTCTGTCCTTGTCAAAAATGCTGCAATAGCAAATTAGGCCCTCGTGAAAATGTTTGGAAGCATTTAATAAATAGAGGTTTCATGCCATATTATTATATTTGGTATCAACATGGAGAATATGCTAGTTGTAGGAATGAAGGTAGCAGTAGTAATCAGGTTGAACCGGTTGATCATTTGCGTAATGAAGGTAGCAGTAGTTATAGCTATGATCATCACCAAGAGGAACAAATGGTAGATTGTGATAGGGTTCATGATATGGTAG